GACGAAAAAATTTTACTCGTCATAAAACGATAAATAGTTTGTCAAATTTTTATTCATAAAAATGCAGTTTCAACTGCTTTTTATTTTATAAAATCCGTCTTCTTGCGCCACCAGAGGGCCTTTTAAACAATAGGTAGTCTGTTAGCGTTGGTCAGTAGTAGTCCAAATTCAATACGAACATTTGTTTCTTGAAAATTTGATCACGATTTAAATACAGTATTTACTTTTAATATTACCAATATGTCATCGAAAAGAAAACGTGTTGTATTATCATTAAAAGACAAATTAAAGTATTTATTTCGATTATCCGGATTTTTCCTTATTCGGACTACCTTCATCCCGAATTAGTCCGGATAATCGAGGTTCTACTGTACTTCAAATGAAAATTAGAACTTTCTTCTTTGTGCAAAAAGAAGAAATGAAAAAAGAAGCTATTACAGTTTTAAACATAAATATGATTTATTACTTACAAAAACATATTTATAAAATTTGAAAGCAACTTTATAGCTGATTAGCAACTTTGTGAATAACTCTATTCATATTGTAGACATTCTAAAAATTAATGAAATACAACATTTGCTAAAAAACTTTTCCTAAATTTTGGTCTTGTTTTATATAGCTAAAACAATAAAGTTGCCATTTTTTATCACAATTATTTACTGAAATATATTTTTTGATATCTGTGAAAAACAACTGATTTAGCCAATTACTTATATTTGTTTTATTTGATTCATTTTATAATTAATGCAGGTAAAGCAGCAAGCTATTAGAAAGAGACCTCCCCAACATAAAAACATCAAAAACTCAAAAGAACCAAGTAATAGCAATATAACAGTATTTTCAGATTTATTCTTACATTGTCTTTATCTTCAGATACAGAAAGATGTATGAATTAAACCTACATAAGAAACATTACCTGAAAATAATGCTAAAAATCCCTGCGTTCGACTGTTGATTACATCAATTTCATGTAACGTCACTGTATGCACTACTTCTTTACGTTTTTGCAATTCACCTTCTGGGCACTGAACAAATTTTGTCTGAGGACCCATGGCATCATAATCTCGAGCTCGTGTAAAAGACCTCCCTAGTTTAGTAATTTTTCCAGTAGCTTTGTCAATAGTAATTATATCTCTAAAAATAGTTAAAATTTCTAATTTATTATTATTATTATTATTATTATTATTATTATATATAGAATAAGAACAGGAAAAACAAGAAAAAACCAAAAACAAAAAATTAAAAATTTATTATTAATTCACTAAATTTAAGTATTAGGTTTAAGCTCTATTCACATATATCAGTGAGGTGTTCACTCAGTTCCATGAAATGTCATCAGTATTGGTGTAGGAAAAAGATTGCTTTAAGTATTCACACATGTCCAGCATATTTTAGCCATCAATGTCCAATCAGTATCTGTATCATGATTTAAAATACAGTGGGTGATCAGTTAACGAACAGATTGGATAACGAACACTTCACTGAACAAACACAAGAAGAAGCAACGTAAAATAATGAATACTGATTGGTCTTCCTTTGTCTTCAGGCAACAATTCAAAACTTTTTGGAGTGCAGGAGACGTTGACATCGACGTTCAACCCAGTATATACTGATCGGATAGTATTCCCCAAACTTTGAAACTCTCCCTTGTAATTCCAGCCTTTTATATTTCTGATAGAAACAATTCTTTTACGTTTTCTTCTGAAAAAACAAATTTATGCCTATATCTGCTATTAAAGATCTTTTTAAGAAGTGGGAGGATGTCAGAACAACGGTCTTAAAATGGCATCCAAACCAGGTTGAGATTAATAGGCTTAGGGATCTCTATAATTACAATGCAATTAATTACTTCTGAAAAATCATGAAGAAGACAGAAAAGCAATCGACATTGGACAGATTCTTTAACCCCCACAAATGAAAAAAACATGACAAATAAAAATGCAAGACCGTGTATATATGTATTTTTATTATTACATATGAATAAATGTAGTAAGAAAGTATATATTTTTTATTTTTTGGAGTCTCCAGAACGAATTAATTAAATTCCCATAAAAACCAATGGTAAATCGATAATCGGTTAACGAACAATTTGGATAGCAAACAAAGTCTTGGAACAGATTATGTTTGTTAACCGATCACCCACTGTATTTTAAATCTTATACCAATGAATATCTCAAATTTTTCACTGATTTTGTTTTGTATAGTTGCCTACTTTTGTATGTGTTTATTTTTTATATTTTATATGAAAGTATTTATGATAACCTTGTTAATATATTTTTTATACAGAGACTCTGCTTAATTAAGGCCACATTGGAAAATGGGTTATTTGGCCCAATTATGTGAACATTATCCCAATAAGCCTTTTCAGTAGTATTCTAAAAAAAAAAAAAAAAAAAAAATACGTTNTAATGTCTTTATTTTATACATAAATAAAGAGATTATTATAAAATAAATTAATTAAAGACCAAATGTTTATTTTTATTACAATTTTTGAAAAACACCAGTAACAAAGATGAGCAAGCACAAGGAGAGAACACTGCCACTTGCCCATAACAAGACATAGTATAGTTATATTCAAATTTTTAAATAATGAAAAACAAACACACACATTTTATTAGCCTTATATACTGCTAAATACAAGTTCATATAGCCCAAAAAATAATAACTAGCATATAAATCTTCTTACTTGTAACCAATTAACCAGAGCAACATTCGTTTTTAAAATGCAAACGTTTTCGACGCCCCCTTCTGGGTTCTTCTTCAGGCATTCACTCAAAACTGTTGCAAGCTGCTTCTTAAACTTTCAAATTTCTTACAAAAGAAATTTGAAAGTTTGAAAGTAACAAAAAACAAATGTTGCTCTGGTTAATTGGTTACAAGTAAGAAGATTTGTATTCAACCCAGTGTATTAGAAAGTTAAATAGTAACTAGCATATACCATTTTCAATTTTTCAACAGCTAGCTTGGTGACTGATTGTCTTTCACTGGAAAATTGCTAATTAAGCAAACCAATGGTACAAAGCATTACATAGGAAACAGATTATGCCATCAGTTAGCTTACTTAACTGCTTGCCACAGTTTCTTCAAAGAACTGTCTGTAGAGTACAAACAGCCTTGGGTAAATGAACAAAATCAAACAGATACCAAAATTGCATTCCCTTCCAATCTAATTTATTTTAGGTCTTGAAAAGAATATCTGTAGAATACATATCAATATTTTTACTTCAAACCCACTATACAGTGCAACCTGTGATAACTAACATAAACTAGAGGCATATTGTCTACAGTTTGTTATTCAATTACTGTCATCACTGTCAAATAAGTTGTGCAAATTTACATTAAATATATTGATTTGTTTTTGTTCTCTGCATTTTGCACAAATATTATCTTATTTTAAAATTAAAAAGTCTCAACCAATGTTCAATAAGCAACACTTGTAATCTGAAGCAGGCCACTAAAAGAGGCTGAAAACATTTGTGATAATAAATATTTATTGCTGAAAGCATGAGAAAGGTGTAGTGTAAGTAAATCTGCCAAAAAAATAATTGTCCCAATTAAGCAGAATCTACTATATATTGTATTTTTTCTGGCTTTCTTTCTATTACATTTCCTCTTCATTCAAAATTATGGCAATTATTGCTAATTCTGTGTGAATTTTGCCATCTTGAATATCACTGACATGACACTGATCAAACTGCATATCTGTATATAAGTATCACTGATAGATCCAGATGTCACTTGCTGATATGTCATTGATATGTGTGAATAGACTTTATCAAAATTAATTAAGTAAATGAATTTAGAATTCTTAACAATGTAAATTTCAATATTACAAACAAAAATTCTTCCCCAAATGACAGCATAATTAAGTGTTAAATAAAGTGTTTACATAAAGCATTTCAATTTATCTTCATAAAGCTCTTACATTGTTATAGCAATTATAAATGGGCAGTTTTTATTAAAGTATATTATTATTGAGAGATGTAACTGATACCAATCTGATACAGATAATCGGCTTATCAGAACATTCTTGACATATCAGAATTGGTTTGTTTTATAAACCAATATACTGATATTTTATTTTTGTTAATATGAATCCTTTATATTATTTTGGTATGGCAGGAATTTGAACATGATGATGGACATACCATGCTGTAAAACTAACCCATAGTAGGCAGAGCATCCTCTCTGAACATGATTTGCCACTGATGGCCATGTGACACATGACTATTATCACTTCTATAGTGCACCAACTTGGTAGGGGTGCTATAAAGCCATCACCACTGGTAATTTATCACCCAATTTGGCAATATTTTAAGCCAGCTGACAATTTGGCAATAATATTTTCAACATGGCAATTTTCTATACTATTATGTTGGGTTGTTCAGAAAGTAAATTATTTTTTTTTCTGTGGAAAAAAACAATATTTTTATAATAAATAAATATTTTATTGAATTATATATCAACCATTTTGGTCAAATATCTGTTGTCATCGTTTCTGATAGTAGCATGATTTCACATTTATAAAAGTTTTGATCGTTGCTTACAAAAAACTGATCCAAGTGATTTTTGACATTGTCATTTCAAGTAAATGTCTTAGTTAAAAATTTGTATAGACCAGAACAAGTAATAATCTGAGTGTGCTCAATCTGGGGAATATGGTTGGTGTGATAGCACGTCCCATCTAAGTAATAACAGTTTCTGACCAATTACCAAACTTGTGTGAAATTTGACATTATCGTGGTAAAACACTACACCTGTTTTGCTGATCAATTCTGGCTGCCTTTTCTGTTTGATGATATTACTCAATTTGTTTACTCGATGGCAGTACACTTTCGAATCAATTGTTGAATTGTCTGGTAA